ATTAATTTTTGTTACATTAAGTTTTTAAAATTAAGCTATTTTTCTTTTGTGTACACATATGATTTGACAACATTTTGTAAAATAAGTTGCTGAAATCATTTCTTTCTCTCAAAAAATAACGTAATTAAAGAGAATGTTCTATTAATATTCATTGGGGCATGGGGTCTTTTTAAAGAATCCTAAATAACTGAAAATCATTACCTCAGTGTCCATTTAAAAATTTTCACTACCCCTTAAAGAAAAAACATTGAAAACCTACTATATAAATGATGACATGAAAATTACTTCTGTAAAATGTGTGCAAATTCTATTTAATTAATAAACTTTCATTTTAGTTTTAACTTGAATATGTATAAACTATTAAAAGCCATTGTTATAAAATAAAACACATATAGTTATAATATACTTAATCACGAATATATTTTGTACCTATCCTTTTCCATTAGCATATTGAAATAAAAAACAGGGTTGTATTTTTCACTGATCAGGAAACAATGTATATAACTTTATACAATATCCTATATTTTGAAACATTAACTGTTTATGATGTGGATCTTGAGTTTTCTATTTGTATCTGTAACTCTGCTGTTCTCCGGGGCAGGATCCATAAAAATTCTGGCAACATTTTAGAGGCAGTATCTTCTAATGAATCCAACAATAGGCCTTTGCATGTATCCACCAGTAGGTGGAGCAGACAACATAATTTATTACCCAAGAACAAGGACAGGGAATGAAAGTCAGTTTATTTGGAATAAAACAAATCTGCAAATGAGATTTTCTTCAAAGGAAATATGTCCTATATGTGTTAGATTCAGTTTGACTGGTTACTGAATCAAAATAAATAACTTTATTAAATAATCAATCTTTGCAGAAAGATAAATTAAATTTACAAATGGAAGCAATGTTTGCATTTTACTTATTCAAATCAACTGAAATTAGCTTTCTTTTTATAAAACTTTTACAGGGACAAAGATTTTTTTGATGTGTTCATTTAATAAGGGCGCTAAACCCAATCCTGTTTTACAGGTGATGGGGTGCATAACAAACAGTACTTTCTGGAAAATATAATTGACTAATCCTATTATGTCTGTAGCAACAAATTAACCTTATTACTACTAGTAAATGGTGATTGATTATTTATGCAAATAAGTTACCATGTTCAGCTTTCTGATTGAAATAAACATATACAAAAGGTGCTTTAATATGACTTGAACTTTTTAATTAATAAAACCCTGAGGGGTCTATTAATTCACTCATTGCAATATTAGTTATTTACTTGTGTAATTCCTATTAGTGCTAACATATTTGCTTGCATAAAGATGAGATACTTAATATCAGTTAAAATCAAGATAGATTTTAGAACTATTTTAACATATGCATTAGATTTACACTAACATTGACTTTGAAACTAGGTTATCAGTATGAATGTATCAGCATAATAGTCCCCCAAACTATTAATATATTAAATAACACATGACTTCATTTATTATCTACATATGAATTCACAAATACAATTTTGGCTTAGAAAATTCCTTACCTTTTCTAAAACATTCTTTGTCTGAATTAATGTTTTATTTCTACTCATCTAAGTGAAGCTACATCAGGCCTATGAAATTTAATTCAAAAATTAGTATTCTACAAACTATCATTATATATCATTATAAATCACTCCTTAATTATTGAAATCACTAATAAAATAGTTCCAAAAAGACTACTAGCATTATTCCTTTTACATACATCTGCAAAACTTTTCCTGTTCTGAGATACTTTGTTTAAAAATTATTTACACTTGAATATTTATTCAGCAAATTTTAAAATAACTATGCAAGTTAAGAGTTAATACTAACACAAGCCTTTAAAAATACCCAATTCATATTTGGCTTTTATTTTGGACTTAAATGTGAATTTAATACAATGAAATCAAAACTCTTAAAGTAAGCAATGCAATTAAGCTGTAAACATCTCAGGGATGTTTTAAAATTTGCAGCTTAATTTCTCCCCAATAGCCAAGTCATGCTGAGAAAATCAATAATAATACTTACATTGAAACATGTGTCTTTCATTCTCTAATCCTTCCTTAGTTTAGGGAAAATAAAGATTTTTGTTAAATGGAATCAGCAAAATGATAAATATAAATGGTTGTTAAATTCAATGTGAATACCTATACAAGCTGTAATTGAAAGGTGTCGATTTCTTTCTAGTAAAAAAGTTTGTTTGGCATTGGACTGAAATCAGAGTGAATGCTCTTTGTGGTTAAGGATCATACAGTATACATTTATATGTCCTAGTCAGATAGATTATAGATACTCAAAAATATGTCATTTGAAATAATTGATGGACTTTAAAGTTAAGGTTTATATTCAATATATTTATTAACGTTAGTGTTGCATATCTTTATTTAGGTTAAGATGTAAAATGCAGGAAGGGGATATTGGGGGAAGAGCATTATAAATATTTCTAATGATTTTTATGAATAACTAAAGGAAAGCAAAGCAAAGAAATGACAACATGAATGCTTCGGACAGCTAGCAAAGATAGACGAAAATCAAAGTGTAGACACTTTGTTTACCCTCCATAGGTTAAATTCCAATAATATGACCATTACCATTTACTGAATGCTCTTTAAGGACCAGGTAGTAGTTTAAATATGTTACATTCAATCCTCCTAATGTTCTTTCAAAGTGCAGAGTGAAACAGACAATTCCAGGTAATCTCCTAATATCTTACCCTAAGTAGGAGAGTTTGGAGACTGATGTCAACACCCATACTCTTTCTACTGTACCACAGTGCCTGAAAAAAAAATCATTCTACTGGATGCTAAGAGTTCTGGAGACAAGGGATCATTAAACTAAAGTTTATATACGTAGCTATTACCAGCACTCTGCAAGATATAAACAAGAAGAAAAATGAGCCAGAGCATTGACAGTTTGCATTTAACAACATAAATATACTTAAAACACAATCGTAATATTAAAAATTCATTAAGGTCCAGGAGGCAAGTCACATGGTCAAGTTTCTGAAATAATTTGTTAAACCAGGTGCTTAATTTTAAAAGTGAAATGAAATCAAAATCGTTAAAGAAATAATGCATATAAAGTATCAACCATACTCTCTGGGACATGGTAAGTACTCCATGGATATTTGCTTTATTATTTTTGTTAGTAAAACAACAAAGTCTTTATGGACTTCGTAAAATATTCCACTATGTACTCGATATCTAAGTAACCCTAGATAAAAGAGAATTAACAAATGTTTCTATTAAATCTGATTTTACCATTTAAAAAATTATTTCTGCTATTACACTACCCGTTGTAAGTATAAACAACACAATTAGACCTCAGATTAAGAAAGATTCAAAGCATAAAAGGGGTTCAGAGTTATCAAAATAAACAACTGTACCCAATAATTATTATCAGGTTTCAAGAATTAAAGTATATATTTATAACTCCCTTAGTTTCATCAAAGTTGAAATTACTAATAACTAAAGATAAAAAAAAGAATTTGTGATTTGTGAGTCTACATTTTAAAAACATGTAGCCTACCAATCAAACAGATAAAATTTTTCATTGTTACGGATTTATAATCAAAACTGAAAATACCTTGACTTTTTTTTTTTTTAATTATCTTTATTGCCTAAGTATTTAGAGTCTAAAGACATCAGTTTGAGGTGTCTTTTTGTGTCTCTGAACCAGTCACATCATTGTCTCTGAGTTCCAGTTTTCTTATCTGTTAAATGAAGATAACTCAGCTATACAAATCCAAGTAAATATAAAGACAGTCATCATTACTGAAAAGTACTGCTAAGTAGACCACCAGATAGAGGCTAGAAGTGCAGTTCTCTGTTCTGAATGTACATGACCAGTCCAGGACTTAATGTTGTTGTTGTTGTTGTTGTTGTTGTTGTTGTTGTTGTTGTTTAAATATTTTATTTTTGAGAGAGAGAGAGAGAAACAGAGTATGAGTGGGAGAGGGGCAGAGACAGAGAGGGAGACACAGAATTCGAAGCAGGTTCCAGGCTCTGAGCTGTCAGCACAGAGCCCCACGCGGGGTTCCAACAAGGGAACGGTGAGATCATGACCTGAGCCTAAGTCGGAAGCTCAACCCACTGAGCCACCCAGGCACCCCAGGACTTAATGTTTTTGAATTTGGATGCCTCAAAGCATGACATTCAGTCTCAGATTGTACCCTCTACCAGCCTCCACCATGGACTTGACTTGCCCATGTCTGAGACATCTGAATGTGTGACTCTGGCTGGAACATGACACTGTACTTGACAGTCTATAAGAAGAAATAAAAACCCACAAATTGCTAGTTTCCTGCCTAAAGCTCAAGTAACAGAACATCCCAACCCCCAAATTCCTTTGTTTTTTTTTTCACCGTATTTCTTTGTGAGCAGAATATTCTACATGCAATGTATTTTTTCTTAGCGACTATGATGAGATCTAAGGCAAGAAAATTTTACCATTTATAAGAAAATACTTCTAAGTATTCTAAATTCCACATTTGTATATCTCAATATGATGATGTAATTTCTGAAGCAGTTTTGTTTCAAAGCTTTACTTGGAAACTTGCATCAACATTTGGAAAATGTGCAAGAAGGGTTTTAATCTCAACATTAGCTCAAGGAAAAGAGAAAACATGAAAGCTGCCTCAGTTTCGTAACTTCTCAGTTCTTGATCAATTCGCAAAACAACAATCAGCCACTCAGAATGGGTTTTAAAAGCGAGGTTATGCCCTTGGTGTTGTGTTATCACAGCGGCACATCACCCTGCTGACTGGGACCTTTCTGCCAGCGTCACAGCGGCTGCCTCTATGAAGCTGCTGTCACGGACGAGTCATGGTGCCTGCGCACACCTACACAGAAGCACGAAATTGAACTCGAAGTAGTGTCTTTGTGATATCTTTTCAACAAGTCATGTCCCATTCAGCCTGCTACTTTATCTCTGTCAGGCTAAGGGCCCAAGTGGTTTACGGGAGCTGTCAGGGACAGGTCCACCAACCTGCTTTGTGCTGAGGAGGTAATGCATCTTTCGGGCTTGGTAATCTCTTTTCTTCTCTTCCCTTTCGAGGTCGGCCTTCTTCTCTTCCCTTTCTTTCATCTCTGCAAACTCCTCTAACGCCTCCCTGCATCAAAACAATCCGCAGTTATTTATGATACTAAAAAATCTGCTAACATTTTCATTCTTCCACTGATGATAATCAAGGAAGTTTGTGAGGGGCTACCATCATCCACATCCATCAAAATCAGCGGCGTAATCTATCTTACCTGCACATTCCACTGAATCTTTGCCATCTTTACAATGCATTTAAGTGATTTTTCAGTGGTTAAATTTTTTAAATCAAATATCTCCATGTTATAATTAATTCAGTGGCTGAGGAAATAGATCAAATGCAAAGCAAGTGAGCTACTATGTTATCACTTTCTTGGTTGAAGATTGACTATTTTGGACATAGCTAAATAGCCCAAGAAAACGTCTGAGCTACTGATTTCCTTTAAATTTTGATTCTGTATTAGGAAATCTCTGATCATTGAATTTGTATGCTAATGGGCTAATTTTGAAAGCATGATGGGTTTTTATACATATACTTAATTTTCTGTAAGTTTACTGCAGGTAACAGTTCAAATAATACCAACATGATTATATATATTATCCTGAACTTGAAAGGCTATTTTGTTCAATCATACAGATACTTAAAATAAAAGTTAAATTAGGTGAATAAGTTCATGGTTTTCTAGGTGCAATAAACTCCATTAAAGTAATGAAAACTGCATCATTTCTGTGTATGTATATCTAAGACATTTAAACAAAAAATAAACTTTTCAAACACACTATGTGAAGAAAAACACCTGATAAATAGATTAAGATATTATCAAATATGGAAAGAGTAAATCCTTTATTTTCATAGAACATATTTAACTATTCGTGTTAAAATGCTATCTTGAAATTATACTTTATTCTTTTTAAAAAGTAGACATATAACTTGGCATCCAGTTCTTGAAGTAAAATTTTAAGTAAATTGTCTGAGCATCTACCTCAAAGATGTCAAGGGAGAGTAGAGGGAAAGATTCCAAAAATAATTAAAAAAAAGATTTTCATTTCTACTTCAATGTCTAGAAATATTTTTGTTGCAATTTTCTGTTAAAGGCTACTAATACAATACTTCATACAAGGTTACTTATGAAACACACTGACGTTTAAAAATCACCATGCTATGCTATTGCAGCAGAGCAATTTTTTTCAACATAAGATTAAATTGCAAAATAAATGAATTACTTGGAGTGGCATGGCCCTCATTTTGCCACCCTTCTCTTGAAAATTGCTTATTAATATGAAAAAAGGAGTCAGAAAATAGCCTGTTTTACTTTATGCATAGTATTTTGGGGGCTTCTGCGCCCACAGAGCTGGGCTGGCTGCACATTTAGATTGTGTTGGCAAGCTGGTACAATGACCTTTCTGACCTGCATCTCAAGGCTATTATTAATCGCTAAGTAACCTGGTAAAGCCAAACAAATTTGTTTCCATTGAAAGGATCTCTATCTGTGTCTGAGAATTTGTTCTGTACCAAACAAACCTCATTAACTGTGTCCATTTTTGACAAAGAACCAGGAGTTAGAAGGATTGGTGACCTTTCTTTGTCCTTAAGGTACAAATTTCAAGGCAGTTACATATGAATAAATGAGAATTATTATTTTTTTTTTTTGGCCAGGAAAAATAACAATCACATGTTACATAAAAAAACTAAATACATTATTAATTTTCATCTTTACTTTTAATATTACGTAAAAATTATTTCTTCTATAATTCCTCTTATAAGTCTTTAAGATAATTTAAAATAACCAATGAACTGCCACTACAAGGATAATTACTCAGATATGCGTGTATCCAATTTTATGTCATTCCAAAGATAAGCACAGTAATTTTCTGAGCAATCACAAAAATAAAAAAAAAAATCTACAAAGAAGTTTGTGCTCTATAAACGATTTAATGAATAAGAAGAGATCTTACATAAGAAAGAAAAAAGGCCCGATATAATTGAACACACACATGAACAGGTAAGGTGCAAAGAAGTAATAGGATTTGGATACAAAATCAAAAGTGTAGATTATTTGCTATAGTAAAAACAGTCCATCTTCTGGATATGAAAATGTAAAATAAAAACAGCCATGTACTCAGGGAGCTTGACAAGGAAAGCTAAAACTCAAAGTCCTGTAAAAGAATGTCAGTTTCCAGTATGTAACGATACCACACAGTAAACCCAGAAGGAACTGGGAAGCCCTAAAAATAAATCCAAGAAATCTGACAAAACAAAACACCAGAAAAGCTAATCTTGGGTAATCTCAAAACACAAAAGTAATTAATTTCATACATTTGTACAATTTTTGAAAAAAATCAATCTTATGTCCCTGATTTATTGCCATACTTGAGAGTGTACAGATATATTGAACATCGCAGTTATATTCATGTCAAGTCCTCTTTGTTTAATGACCAAGTAGGAAGAGCTGAATAAATTTCTATCCCTGATATACAAGTTTTTGTTACATCAGTAGTGATGAAGATGTGTCTCAGTGTAAAGAATGTAATAAAAAATTATGATCCCATTAAAGATTAAATGATGGAAACCATTCTAACTAGGTTTCTTTATAAAATTATAAAAATTACGATTTTTTTCACCCAGTGATTTTTTTTTTTAATGCAGAACTTTTAAAACACTTAATTTTTTTCCCAAATAATTCCAGGTTGTTTTCAATATTTTTTCTCATTTCAGGTATATATATGGTCTTATTTCTATCCTTAAAAAACAATCCTGTGATATATATGGGGTAGATGTTACTAATTACCTTATTTTACAGATATGGAAACACATAAGGAGATAAAATGACGTACTCTGAATAACAAATCAGTTAATGGCAGAAATGGAGTTAGAATCCTTAGATTGACAGATTCTATAATTGCAGATCTAAAAGCTATAGTCATCCTGATGCAAGAAATACTATGCAGAAGATATTTTTTATTGAATGAATTACATATATTTTCTTTTCTTTTATGATCCTATTTTCTACTATATAGTTAAAGAAACTTAGGTAAGTCCCAGGACTTCCTCCATCACTTTTCATATATATAAAATGTTTTATGATATCAGTTTAAAAATAAAGGTAAAAATTTCCGAAACTTTTGTAAAGCTTTACCTATTTGAGTACATTTTGCTAATGCTAATGATATTTATAATGATAAAAATTTACATATTCTAATTATTATAGTAATAATAAAAATAAAATAGCCATTTGGAAGCAGTCCGGTAGAGTGGTTCACAGCACAGACTCTGAAATGACACCTGGTTATAAACTCTGTTATGCTATTTACTAGCTGTTTAATATCTGAGTCTCAATATCCTCACCTATAAAATGTAAATATATTAGTATTAGTTTCTTCTTCAACAAGCTATTGTGAAGAACAAATACATCAATCTATGTAAAATACTCCGAGTGGGGCTGGCACATAGGAAGCCACTACGTAAATGTTAGCTATATATTGAATGTTTACTCCAGGCCATGTTCTAGGCTACTGACTTTATCTACTCAACTGGATACCAATCTTTTGTATTTTCTCAAATTCCTTCGGTGATTTCATCTTTTTCCTCTCCTGATCAGTGTGTAATTAATGGAAGAAATTCCATGAGGCAAAGCAAGGAATCTGGTTTTCTAAAAGGCGTGGAGGTATGGGGTGAACCTTGACTGGTGGGAAATTGGGGACAGAAGAGAGCCATGCAAACAAATTTCCCTTTTTTGTGTCCTCCATGCACCGCTGAGAGTTTTCCTGGCAAAGCTGTGTGGCTGATGGATAAAGCAGCGCCTGCCTACCTGCTGGACCTGGTTGAGTCACTGCGGGACTCCATGTGAAGTGGCGGCCAGGGCTGCAGGGGCTCATCACATCACACTGCTCCCTACAGAACCAGTGCAGGAGCACTGGTAGCTGACAGCTTACAGCTGCATGCCACTGGAGAAAATCAGGTGCTCCGCCTCAAATTTTGTCTCCCTCTCCCTCCAGCTGGCATCCAATGACTGGTGACTGAAGGAGTACAGAGGCCCAGAGCCTTTTTCTCAATTTTGGATCCACTCTAAACACCCAACCAAATCCCGAGTTTCCTGAGATTGGCTGAGACTGCTGATGCAGTTCAACTTCACCACCCTACGGATGTTGTTCCCTAAATACTCCCCAATATAATCTTACACCAAATCATGGCATCCAGAGTCTGTTTCAAGCTATGACATTTCACTTTCCACTTTTCCTCACCCTCTCTGCCCTGGGCTTAAAACATCCAAATAAAGTATTATCAGTTTAATCCTACACTTATATTTTATTTCCAAGAGTTTCCTGGCTAAGACATACACATTACTGCTTTTAATCCTTTCACAATCCAGTGAGGCAGATATTATCACTCCCATTTTTTAGATTAGGACATGAGTTGCACAGAGGCTAAATCTTCTCCCAAACTCCCAAACTAGAAGGTGAAAGTTAGAATTTGAATATAGTCCTGGCACCAAAATTTATGCCTTTATGTACAATACTATACTCATATTACACATTTTGCCTAAATCCAATACAGTTGACTCTTGAACAACATGGGTTTGAATCACACTTATATGCAGTTTTCTTTTCAATAAACACAGGGCAATACTGTAAATGTATTTTCTCCTCCTTATGATTTTCTGAATAATATTTTCTATTTCCCTAGCTTGCCTTATTGTAAGAATACAGAACATAATACACATAACATACAAATATGTGTTAATCAACTGTTCATGTTATTGAAAAGGCTCCCAGTCAACAGCAGGGTATGGGCAGTTAAGGTTTGGGGGAGTCAAAACTTATACATGTATTTTCAACTGTATAGACAGTTGACAACTGTATAGAACCCCATGTTCAAGAGTCAACTATATTTTTCCATTCTGTTTGATTTTCTTATTCCTTTAAAAATATGGTACTAAAAAAAAACTCTTTATAATTCTTACCTTCTCGTCTTTACAAGTCCAGAACCCAAAACCAAAAATCTCTACCCTGTCCTCTAAAAAGTCTTCATAGATCAATTCAATAATAATTAATCTCTAGCTGTCTCCACTCTCA